ATTTCTTCTGTCAAAAGTAAAGTCTTCAACTATTACATTATACAATTTGTAAAGTATGAGTTAAAAACCGAAATTTTAAAAATAAGCCTACAGACCAACCAGCACATAAGTATATAACGTCAACGTGTAACTTCAGAACATGGGTAATTAAACTAAAACATCAATTTATAGGTTATTCTCGCTGCGTACTTTAGAGAGTATCAATTTACTTGCACCTGACATAAACAATTGAATGCATTTGAGAGAGAAAAACCATGCAATCAGAATTACCAATATCTCGTGTTAGTCTTATTGGGTAGATACTTAAAAAAGTAAAATAACGAAAAAAAACGAACTCCAAGGAAAATTCCAAACCAAAAGTCCCTTATCAAAAGGCAAAATCAAGCTCTTTCGTCTAATAAAAAATTTGTTAGTATAATTATCTCATGTTACATACATTTTCCTTTCACCGTCACTTATTCGTGAGCCTCAAAATAGAGCATATTCCAAGTAAAGTCGAAATTTGCACCATAAAACATCTAATAATGATAATGAATCTAAACGAAAAGTATCTGAAAAAAATAATAAATAATACTTGTAAATATATATATATATATATATATATATATATATATATAATTCTAACTCAATTAAGATGCTCCCCATCTTCTGGAATTATGACTTGTTCAGAGTCAATATAATTGCTGACCCAGCTTGTCTTTGTGGGGGCAATATTGAGACTGTTCCCCATTTCCTTTTCGACTACTTTATATACAGACCAGAGAGAAATTCTGATGAACAATCTAAGATGGCTCCCTGATGACCTTATATTGAATGTTAAGATACTAACATCTGGTAATCAGAACCTCTCGAACAAAACGATATTTAAACATGTATTCGAATTCATTAAAAGGTCTGAGGGATTTCGTGTCATATGATACTGAATAGAGTATTTGCGGTACATTCACATCATCGTCATTACCAATGTTTCCGTTATTATTGTTTCATCTACTTTTAATAGCTAGACTCGTAAAAGAGAGGCGAAAGATACCAAAGGGACATTCAAACTCATCAGTCGAAAATAAACAGAAAACGCCATGGCTAAAAAAGAAAAAGACCAAGAGACAAACAATAGTACACAAAACATAACATAGAAAACTAAAGACTGATCAACACAAACCCCACCAAAAAGTGGGGGTGATCTTAGGTGCTCTGGAAGGGTAAGAAGATACTGCTCCACATGTGGCACCCGTCGTATTGTTCATGTAAGTACAAATCCGGTAATATCTCTAAATTGGTAGGTCGCATTCGGGAAAAAGGGGACGGGATTGTAGTTACGACATTTGGAACATATCATCTATGAAACCGATATTCCATAACGGTCAACCAACTCGTGATGATGTCCGTAAAATTTACGAAGGGATGATTTCAACTTTAACACTTGGAGCTCTTGGTTTAATAGCTTCCTTGTGAGCAGCAACCCTCTATCAAGGAAATCATGATAGGAAATACAAGCCCTGGAATATCGTATCAACTGGGAGATATTTACTCCGTATGAAGGCGCTTCTGGAATGTTGCTACATACAAGATGGTAAGTTCACAATTGGGAAGCTGAAATCATCTCTTTTGTCGTAAAGTTTTGTTTTCAACCGACCCTCACTGTCAATTTCTAGATGTAAGTCAAGATATGAGACTTAACTGTATCTGTTGTATCCTTTATCTCAAGTTCGATGGGATAGATGCGTTCAACATAGTCACCAAATTTTGAATTATTAGGTGAAAGAACATCATCTATGTAGCGGAATGTAAAGTTAAAGGATACTGCTAACTTCTTTTCTTCCTTCATAAGAAGTTCCTGTATGAAGTCAGCCTAATATGAATAAAAGAAAAAGTCGGCAAGGAGAGAGGCACAGTTTGTTCCCATTGGAATGCCGATTATTTGTTGAAAAATACGTCCTCCAAACGTAACAAATAATTTGTCAATCAAGAAATCAAGCATCTTGATAATGTCAGTTTCAGAGAATTTTTTGTTTGGTTCAGAGGGATTTTTTACAAAGTAGGATTTATCCCTCCCTAAGACAAGATACGTGTATCTACGTTGGCCATTCTTTTTTTTATGAAACAAAGCTGGACCAACTCTTTCAATTTTTCTTTAAGTTTGGAATGGGAAATACTTGTGTAAAGTGTTGAAAAGTCAAATGTTTTAATACTATTGCAAGATGAAAGAGTCTTAGATTGTATGTACTCTAAAAGATCTTTGGAATTTATTCACATATTGATTCACGCCACCTCTAGAATAGGTAATTCCACAATAACTTTGAAGCCCGGCTTTGATTGCTGATAAAACTGATGTTAATAGTTAAGAAAGAGGTTTCATGGAGCACTTGGAAGACCCAGCAATATACCGTTGTTTGTAAGGACACTTATGTTCTCTCACTAATTAATACAAAATTTGGTGACTATGTTGAACGAATCTATCCCATCGAACTAGAGATAAAGGATACTACAGATACAGTTCAGTCTGCCTCATATCTTGACTTACATCTAGAAATTGACAATGAGGGTCGGTTGAAAACAAAACTTTACGACAAAAGAGATGATTTCAGCTTCCCAATTGTGAACTTTCCATTTCTATGTAGCAACATTCCAGCAGCGCCTGCATACGGAGTATATATCTCCCAATTGATACGATATTCCTAGGCTTGTGTTTCCTATCATGATTTCCTTGATAGAGGATTGCTGCTCACAAGGAAGCTATTAAAACAAGAATTCCAAATGGTGATGTTGAAGTCATCCCTTCGTAAATTTTACGGACGCCATCACGAGTTGGTTGACCGTTATGGAATAACCGTTTCACAGATGATATCGGATATGTTCCTTATGTCATAACTACAATACCCTCCCTTTTCACGAATGTGACTTACCGAATTAGACTATTTACCGGATTTGTAAGAACATAAGCAACACGACGGATGCCACATGTGGAGCAGGATCTGCTTACCCTTCCGGAGCACCTGAGATCACTCCCAGTTTTTGGTGGGGTTCGTGTTGCTTAGTCTTTGGTTTTCTATGTTGTGTCATCTGTACTATTATTTGTCTGTTTGTCTTTTTATTTTTGGCCATGGCGTTGTCAGTTTGTTTTCGATCTATGATAAAATTGAGAATGGAAATGGGGAATGTGTCAAAGAGACAACAACCCGACCATAGAACAGACAACAGCAGAAGGTCACCAACAGGTCTTTGATGAGTTTGACTGTCCCTCTGGTATCTTTCATCCCTCTTTTATGTAGTTTAGGAATCAAATAAAGTGAAGGAAGATCCAGTTCCTTATCTTTGGTTGAAATTCCAATGGAACATAGAACAGACTTATGATTATCAAGGATTTCCTCTTTGGTAAGAGTCGTGGGGGTATATGTTGAGTCTCCAAGTGAATTGTCAATACCTAATTCATTTATCAAGCAATTTATGTAATGTGATTTACACACAAAAACGATGTTGTTTGAGGCTTTATCTGCGGGGACAACAACATATTTGTCATGGATGTAGGACAAGTGTTTTGCAACACTTGGGTCTATAAAGATTGATGTAGCATGGGTATTCATAGACCCATTCGGTTTCTTAATTCTGATTTGTATCAACTACCTCACAGCCTTAATCCAATCGGAAAGAGTTTCTTCGTCCTCTTTCTCGTGTTTAACCCATCGCCCGGCATAATCCTCGACTGAATTCATCAGTATTTCCAATTGATGAATTTAGGCTCACGATATTTCGGGCCATTGGATAACACATTTCCCAGAGAAGTGATATTGACAATGTTTAGGTCACCAGTAATAACAGGGCCCGTCGGATCATATATGATCAGGAAACTAGCACAGGTGCAATCAGGAGGTTTAGACTAGAAGTCGTCAATATTGAGATCCTGCAACACGTGTTTGTAATTGAAAATTTTAGTTGAAATTGGTTTGGTATAGGTATAAGAAATGATAGGTACAGACCAATTTTTAAAATAGGGAGGTATTTTAGAATGAACTAATTTATGATGAAGCATATTGCCCAAGATGATGGCATCGAGACCTTTGTTGGCAAAGGTAAGTTTAAAAAAGGAAATTTTCTCCTTTTCATCTTTTCCAATGCGAACTGGTTTAAAAAGTCTGTGACTTGCAATATCCGAAAATGATAGCTACAAGTTTGTATTGGTTTCAATTAGGGTTTGTAACAGTGGTTTCCAAACATGAATACCTAACGGCTTTTGTATAAATGGCAGCAGGTTATTAATAGAGACATCAGGGAAAGTAAGTGATGTATAATACGATGACCATGACTGCATCTACGTCGAAGTGTAGAGTTGAAAATGTTCATCACATTCCTCGAGCTACAGGAAGTATTATATAGAATACTTATACCATCCATTTTGTCATTGCAGTCATGTGGTGTCGCAGTTCCCAATTGTCGAATCCAGTAGTCTTCTTTTGTCTGCGGAGAGGTGTTGCAAGATGAGGATTGTTAGTCCTGTGGTATATTTTTTCGATGATGCGAACTTGCATAGAAAGGATTGAATGATCAGGCTGGTTAAAATACTGGTAAACAATGTCGCTTGCATTGTTGTTGATGTCTGATCTATGGCCGCACATGCGTTTATTTAGGCTTCCTTTTGTTTCACCGACATATACCAATCCGCAAAGGTTACACTCAAATCCGTTAACGACATTTCTTGATTTACAATTCAGATCATCGCAGCTTCTGGTAAAGTATTGTATATTTTGAAATATTGCATGCACATATTAATGATTTATTGTTATATATTGTAATTCGGAGCGGACTTCATAAGTATGGTTTACTTGTGTCCAATCCATTTTACTTTGAGTAAATGAAATATGTTTAAAATGAAAAAAAGAAGTTATCTTTAAGAATATTGGATTATTTGAGTTACAACCCATCCAAATCATTTTTTTGATACATTATATACAAATAAATGGGCATTTCACGTAAAATAATTCATGCAAGTGGAAAGCTATGCTAACCTGTAGGTTTATCTTCACAATGGTAATTAAATACTGCGAAATTTTAAAGAATTGTACCTGAAATATAAATTCTACTTCATTCATTTCAAAAATGATTGCTGGTTTCATCGTTTCAAATTACAAAATATAATAAAATGCCACAAATAAACATCTTTTGATTCCTTTATCTTGCGCTGGTTCATAAAATTAAATGGTTTAATCATTATATATATAATTAGTATATCTGCATTGTTTCGATATGTCCAGCTCTTAAACATTGACTTTTAGTGTTCTTTGTCGGTGAAAATAGTTTTGACTATCTTGATATTTACAACTAGTATGTGTTCTTAAATTGACACCACTCAACTTTTTTTTATTAGGAACGAAAAGATGGACTCAAGTCATCTTACGTAAAGGCTTGTCTTTAGATCATTATATCTTAATATTATATTATTATATATTATTAAGGTACTTTCGTAGACGACAATAACAACACACAAATATGGCATTCAACAACAACACTACATACAAGTTTCTTATACTATTCACCGTTTCAGTATCTAATGCATTCTTGGTAATATGTAAGAAATGAACACTAAACACTCTGTAATAAGTTAACAAAGTTCTTTACTTTACAAACAATGAACAATTGCTTATAGTCCTTTAAATTCTAAAACGGCAACTGCAAAATATCTTTAAATCAGATTAACGCTTAAATTTCAAAATGCGATAAAGAAAGTTAAACGTTGTTCTACCGTTGATAAAAAATAATTACAGTATAAGTTACCTACCTAGATGTTATTCATGTTTTGTTAACTAATCCACTACAAAACACGACAGTACATGGCCATTAAGAAAGGCATAACAATTAACAACTGCTTACAAAGAAAGCTATTTGATTAATGATGCAGAAAGTAGTTATATAACAATGTAACATAGCTGGTATTAATAAGTGCAAGTTATCCTGCATTACAATCTAAAAAAAAACACTCACCTAAAAATATTTTCACTTAAAAATATCTGTACAAATTGATATTTGATCACTAATTGTTTCCAAGGAACCCGAACGATTCCGATTTGGAAAATTCCTATGCGTGAATTGCATATCTTATATGCACCCATATAAAACCCATTGGAGTTTTTCTGTTTTTACAGTGTAACTAATCTTAAAGACAAGAGCGTTTAGTATTTAATTTACATTTTAATGCATGGATGTTTCTGCCATGTTTTATTCGTCCTTATATGTTTGGTATCAGTGATCAAAACATTCAAGAGAAGAATTACAGTTAGGAATGAAATATGTTTAAGAAATCCATTAAACAACATATTATAAAGTTACGTATATGGAAGTTACAACCATTTGATTTAAAACATATAAGGCAATGTTCGGGTTGTGAAGCTCAGTCAAATTTAACATCATGTGATTTATTTTTAACTTTTTACATATCCCCATTTTTGTCATTTTGTCATGTTGTTACATGTAAGACTTTACTGTATGGGTTTTTCTCATTGGTGAAGGTCGTAGAGAGACCTGTAGCTTAAATCCACTTAATTTTAACTCTGTTGGATAGTTATCTGATTGGCAATCGTACCACATCTCTATATGTTATATCGTACGATTACTTTATGTTTATAGATACACTCGTATTAAAATATAGTAATTGTTAAATAGTCATATGGTTAAAATAGGGCACACCAGGCCGAACACAGAATTGATAACAGAGAACAGTGAAATATAAATTGTAATATCACATTTAGCTCCTATTATCAATTTGAAACGATATATTTATATATATATATATAATTGATGATCTGAAAGTCTTTTGGAATAAAATTTCAAAATGTCTTGGTGAATTTTCTGTTCAACTTGGAAGTTCGCGAACTTTGGGCAATATAAAACACTATACATTGGTTAATTTGCTATGGTGTTTTGTTTTATTTCAAAATTTCAATTTCAGTTAGAGAATTTGTGCAGATAATTTATGAATTTGTAATACCTTTGTGTTAATAAACAAGAGATATTCACGAATTTACTATTATATAAAGCAAGATCACCTGATGTGACCTATAAACATCATGTAACAAGAGTAACACGACGCGTGTCATTAGTTGAGTTGGTGTCTGCTAACCTTTCTAGAGCACCTGATATCATCCTTGGTGTTTTAGTAAGGTTCGAGCTGCTTAATTGTTTTTATCTTAATGTGTATGTTTAAGAATGTTGCTTGTCTTTTCGTCGTTTTGTTTGATCATGGTGTTGTGTGTTTTTATTCGATTTATGATTTTTGTATTCCCCTTGGTATCGTATCCCTCTTTTTATCAACTTGGGCAGATTATGCTACTGTTGTGTGTGTCACTCTGTGTTGAATTAATTTATATATATATTTAAGCCAACAGTAGTTTACCAAAGTGCAAATCTCACAAATCGATTAAGAAGACAAATATAGAATAATGGCATTTTTGTTTTTGATACTGACTTTATCAGCAAAAATATCAAGCGATTAGTTTTGGCTTTAAAACGGTCACTGTTGCTACATCTACATATAATAAAGAGAGTGAATAAAAACGCAAACGGCCTCAGAAACACTACGTACTTTTTAGTTACCTACCTCGGTGTTTCTCGTGTAGATACTTATATTCTGCTAAATATACGACATTAAGGGACTATTAAACAAAACATTAGGAAAAGTAACCACTTACACAGAAAGCTACTGATTAATGATGCAGAAAAGAGTTATATAATAACGTTACAACATAGACGGTATCAATTAGTGCAATTTATTCTGTAAAATCAGATAAATGGTGTTCAAAGAACAACTTTTTACTTTTCAAAAAATTATTTTATACTTCGATTTTTGATTGCACATGTTGCGCAATCTTAAGTTTTCTATGAAATATTTTGTGTATTATTGTTTTTCTTTTATTATTTTTAGTTTGCAACAGTCTAATTTGTCACCTCTTTTGTGTATTTTATATATTGCATTGCACATTTATATTTTTTTCCATCACTTTTTCTTTAAAATATACGTCCATATCTTGTTCTTAACCGTACTTAGATGTGTTGGCCTAATTATTTTTACAAAATTGATTATGTTAATTAACAGTCTTATGTTTCCTTCAGAAGCTTTTGTGGCACAGATCTTATGTGCACTGGCGACATTGCTATGAAAAGCCTTTTTTAAAAGCTAGAATATCTAACTTTAAAAAGTATTTTCGCGTGCTTATGCATCAACTTGACAAACGTTTCATCCGGTACTAATCGAATAAATACTGAATGCAAAATAGGGCCCTAACTGGATGTACAGCACCCGATATCAAAGTGTTGAAAACGTGGTTTCTTCATTAGCATGGTATTAACTATAAGTTTGCCTCCAGTAAGTGCACAATTTGATGGTGCTGTATTATAAAGTTTGATTTTACTTGGACGTGTTTTTGTCTACAATACCGTTTATTATAAATAGCATTTTCTGCTTGGATAATTTTTGTTTTCTCAAATATCCGTCTATTCCACAGATAAAAATTGAATGTGAGAGTTTTAATGCTCATAAAACTATTTGACAAAAAAGATAAGTAAGCTCTTTTTTTGGTTTTTCGTGTGGGTAATTATATTCCATTAAATGAATATAAGATAGTAAAGAGTCACTACGGAAGACATTGGGAATAGTTACAACTTACAAAGAAAGGTTATAAAATAGACGGTATCAATAGACTTTATCGCTATTTGGGAATCTACGACACTTTAACTATTGACGTCATACGACAATCACTTTTTCTTTGTAGCGTCAAACATTTTCTATTATGACGTCAAAATTTAACGGAACCTTTGAGATATCCAGTAATGGCGGACAAATAGCGATAAGGTGTATTAGTTCCAGTTATTCTGTAAAAGCAGACAAATGGTATTCAAAAAATAAAATCATTTTTACCGTTAAAATTTGTTTCATAGTCCGAATTTTATTGTGCACGTGTTGCCAAGTCTTAATTTGTCTATGAAACGGTATGTGTTTTAATGTTATTCCCGTTTTTATTTGGCAATAGTATTGTTATCCCTATTCGGTGGTGTATTATCTATATGCACATTTAATTGTTTCACTTTTCTTTGAAATAATATATTACAGTGCTTATCCAGAATGGTTTGGCCTAATACTATACCAATTGCCTAAAAACTTTTTCCCTGTTGCAGTATGTATTCACCTCTACAAACTGATCAACTGGTGAAACAGTGTGTTTACCGAATTACTTCAGTAAAATGTTTTAGTGTGAAGTGAATGCAGTGATTTAAAAGTAATGCTTACCATCAAAGTCTAGTTATCTTATGTCTATATCATGAAATTGAAAGAAAATAATCACCTAGTATAATATTAGGCACTTGCTAAAAACAGGTCTGACTTGGATATGAAAACTTCTATTCTAATGACATTTTCGACATAATTAGTTCTAATCATTGTTTGGCTGGGCAATAATCTATTGCTTTGTTATTTAAACAGGAAGCTATTGTGTATTTTTAATTTGGATATTTTTTTTCTATACCAGATACTTATCTGCTGGCATTAAAGAGAAATAATTTAAATTCGGTCATTGTATATAGAAATAACTAATCAAAGATACCAGGCCTATGATTTTGTATGCCAAACACATGTTTCGTCTACAAAAGACTCATCGGTGGCGCTCGAATAAAAAAGGTTGAAATGCCAAATAAAGTATGAAGTTGAAAGATCATAGAGGAACCAAAATTTTGTAAGGTTTTTCCAAAAAAAGCTTTGGTAATCTATTCCTGAGGTAGAAAATGATTAGTATTTTGAACAATTCAATTTTTTGTAAACAGATGATTTATAATTTTTACCATATCAATGATAATTAATGTCAACACTGATGTACTGATACCCTCGTAATTTACAGAGGAATCTGTGTGATTTACACAATGTAGTAGGGTATAGTAGGTGGCAGGGCAGACTAGATTACATGTCAATACTTTTATAATGACAGTATAAACAATAACCCTGCAAGTACATAAATCGACATTTTAAATTGCTTTATACGCTTGGTACTTAGTTATGAAACTAGATTAAATTTGAAAATAACATAAAATACAACCAGTCGAACAATACATTCAAAACTGACATGACACAAGACAAATACAAAAACATGTAATTACCTGTCTATGGGACCAGGTTTTATACTGGTGATATGTATCCGTAACTATATACTATTTCCTCAATCAGTCTACTAAATATAATCTGAAAAATATAGAGTAATAACATTTTTACCTCTATGAACAATGAAAATATTATAACTGTCTGAAACTTTAAAATCATGAAACTAAGGAATTTATTTAAGCTAGAAAACACAAGTCTTTATCTGTTAATCAAATAAAAGTTCTAATTATTATACTTGCAGTAAATCACAATTACAAGAATACTAATTTAAAATCATCTAACAATGAATACCATAATGTACCAAAAAGTCACACATTTTCCATAAATCTATCACTTATGCTCTTTCACACAAACACGGGTAATAACTTGGTTATATCTACCTTATAACTATATATCTGTTACAAGAAAATAAAGTCTACAATATATTCAAACTCTATGAGTACAAAATATGTCTAAACTATCTCAAGACAAAGAACCTACTGGCAACAATATAGATTAAGGCGGAAAACTATTCCCAACCAGAAAACAAAGGAGTCCAGGAATATCCAACCAATAGAAAGACACACCTTAAACTACTCACAAATAATTTGACCATAACACCTCTGGAAAGTTCCTAAATCCAATGTATAGTTAAATATAAAAATACATGTACTATAAAGATCAAATCATAGCCTGAAGACAAAATCAATACTTTTTGTCAAGTAAATGAATATTATGTATTCGTTTATTCAAAAGAGA